ATATATATATATATATATATATATTATATATATATATATATATATATATATATATATATATATATATATATATATATATATATATATATACACACTAGTTAATAGTTTTAAACTTACTAAATGGAAATCAAATGTAGTTATCAATCTATACCAAACAGAAGATAAAAATAATACGATAAATATTTCAAAGATTGTAAAAATAAACTTCCTGAAACAGATTAAAATAGACTTGGTGCTATTTTTGTTTTTTTGAGTTTTTTGGATATTTAGTTATAAATCTCATGGAGAAAATAGAATGATTATGATTATTATGTTTTAGTAATAGTTTAGTTAGTTGGACTGTATTGTTTTGTATCATATCATAAATAAATCAGAGAAAATTGTCAGGAATGAGTGTTTTTATATTTATATGTATTCAAGTATCATAATATTTTCAAGAGAAATTGTTAAAAAGAACAATCAATTTGATCAAATTTTTTAAACTCTATTTTAGTATATATTTAGTTTGCTTTTTTATTAAAACAATTAATTATTTTATAAATATTATTTTGTTTCGTGTTTCTTCCATTTTTCATATATGAAAGTTCATTCGTTACTCTTCTTCTTTGTGAAGTTTTTTATTCCTAATTTGAAAAGTTTAAAAAGTAGCACTGAAATAGCTCCATGCTAGAGAGCAAGTAATTATTAGAAAAGGCTTTTGTAATCAAAACTTGAATGAGTGAGTTTCAATATTATTTTCAAAATTGTTATTGCTTTAGGTAATTCAATTAAATGAAATAATTTTTATAAGTGTTCATCAAAAAAGATTTTATTTTAAATTGTTAAATTTGCATGTATCTTATCTTTTATTTAACATCAGCCATAGGTCAGGCTTGGTCGGGAAGCAGGTCCGATCACACTCTATTTCTGAACACGCAAATTATATTTAGTTGCAACAACTTGGCCACAGTTTTTTAGATGTTTTGAGAACATTTAAATTTATGTATGTTTCCATGTATGTCCGAAACTTTTTGACATGCTAAAACAATTAAATTCTTAAATAATCTCTTGTAATCAAATGATATAATATTGTCAAAGCGCTTTTAAACTAAGAGATGATTTACTTTTAATGACCATTTATAAAATTATTTAATATTGTATTTATAATTTTATTTTTTAAATTATGTAAAGATAAGTAAGTTTTATTAAAATTTATAATAAATAATTATATAAATAATAATCTAAGTTAATTTTTTATTCTTTAAATGTAAATCTTTTAAAAATGTTTGTATGATCTTTCAACAACAACTATGTTTTAAATAAAATTTAAAAAACAATAATCATCAAAGTTAATAAAGGTAATAATCAAATAAACAAACAGGAACTTACAGGCGACTGAATATAAACATACGTATATATAGTTAATTATGATTGGATGATCACCGTGTCAGAAGTTTGAACAAAACATAAGCATACATTTATATAAAGTGACTTACAGTGAACCAACACCACGACAACGGTCCATACAGCACAAAAACGTACAAATTAACAAGTCTACTCACTAAATATGTTAGTGGTATTGTGAAGCAGTTTCACTTCCTCTTCATAAATATATTTTACCTTTTTAGTTTTAACCATTAAAGTTTGCTTTCTAATAATTTGATTCAATAAAAATGTGCTTCTAGTTTGCAAAAGACAAATCAATATAAAGTTATTAAATATATACATAGTGTGCAGGTTGGAAACTGATCGTTCTTGACCGCTGTTTCAGGGTCTGGTGCATTGCGGAATTTTTTATAAATACACTGCTAAACACAAGGAACATTATAAATACACTGCTAAAAGGTCTTTATAATATTTTATAGTAAAGCAACAATTTAATTATTTCTTTTAGTTATCTTACTTTAAGAAGAATTGTTTTAAATTTTTTAAACTTTGCAAACTACGCAAAGCATGAAATGGTTATAAAAATGTATTATTATATAATTTAACTACCATTAGTTTTATTAAAATCTTTTTGAAATAAAACATAAATACTTAAATAAAGAATATTATTATACACTCTGATAAATTGAAGAACATTTTTCACTAAATGATCATTAATAGTAAGTTGTTACTTTTTTATAAAAATGTCGCTTTATTTTATAAAAAAAAATTATAAAAGAGAATAGTTTAGAACAATTTGTTCTAAACGTAATTTTTTTTCTATTAGTTAAGTTTTTTTCTTCATTAAAAATTCATTTCTTATTTTAGTTAATTTTTTTAGTAGTTGTATCCTGTCAAATTAAGTTTTTCTTTGCGCTTTTTGAAATGTTCTCAAAACATCTAAAAAGCTGTGCCCATGGTGTTGCAACTAAATATTATATGCATGGTTAAATAAAGAGTGCGATCGCACCCACTTTTAGACCAAGCTTGTAGGTGTGTTTTTCTTCTTCTCTGCAGTTGCCAATCATACTTATTTGCAAATATCCACTAACAAAGAAACTATTTAAGGTGGTGTCAAGAAAGATGTTGCATTTTTGAGCAACTGTCCTCCCTTTAGAAACAGTGAGTTAAGAAACTTTGGTGAGGGAAACCATCTTTGATGCAGTATTATTTCATGCAGGCTTTGCTTATAGCTGTTCGTTTAGGAAACCATGTCGATGGAGTTAAGACAGGAGGTGGTAAAAAATTTTCTTTGATTGTGCCTAAAGAAAAAAAGAAATTAAAAATGCAAGAAAACAATATAAAAATAGTGTCAGGGCAAACATTTACAAAATACATGGAACTTAATACAAGCTATGCTATTTCAATAGAATTTAAAAGTAATATAGATATAACCTTCTACATGGCTTGATTCCTCTACATGGCTTCATTCCTCTACAGGATTCGTTGATTGTCTGCATATCTTCTTTGCTCATTGATTATCTGCGTTTCTTCTTTGTAAATAATTAAACGGTTTTTTCCAAGTGGGAAAATGCAATAATTGTAAATGAAAACATTCAATGACCGAGTAATCGCATTTAAATGAACATCTGTAAAAGTTTTTATAAGATTAGTATAATATTTATCAGAAAAGATTTGAGACCTAGCATTGAGCTTTATTTTACTTTTAATTTAATTATTATTATTTTTTAGAAGAATATAAACACATTTATTAACAATAAAAATATTTAGGTATTCATTTGAGAAGGTTTGAATTAATCTCCAGTGGAATTACTGCGTTGCAATATTTAATGATGATGTGCAAATAGAACTTTACAAAACAATAATAATTGTCCAAGAGAAATTGTTGTGTAGCAATCATAACGTTCAAGACAGCAATACTTTTTTAAAGTTACTTTCTAAAAACCCAAATTGAAACATTTTTTTTAGTTGTTGACTAGAATGCATTGTTGTCAAAGACTGCAATAAAGTTCAATAACTTATAAAAGTATTTACAACATTAATGTTGTAAATTGTGGCTCAGAACCCCTATTATACGATAAAACAATGATGGTAAATTTTTATTATTATTATTATTTTTTTGTCGAATACTGGAAAACATAACAAATATCTTCCAGTCTTCGACACCCTCTTCTGTCCCCTCTCTCTTTTCAGTGTTTTATTTTTAAAGATTTGTACGTTCATCTTTCTATTTCCGTGTCAGCATGAAGAAAAAAAAATTTCAATTACCTTACACTTGTCATGCGTTTCTTGTGGTTGTCTAAAAACAGTTATGAAAATTATTCCTAAGAGTTAAGGGTGTTAACAAAACTTTTTTTGCTCCAAATCATTGTATGTGTTTGTTTTTATGTTTATAATAGCCAAACTTCCTTCATATATAAAGAAAAGATAGGCATTTATTTTAGACACTATTTCTGCACTTTACTTCAGTTAGTCTTAGCTCAGTGTATGTTTTAGTGACAAAATGGTGATGACTGAATAGGCTGTTGACTGGGTGATTTATCCTATAGTTTTTATGAAATTCTTATAGTGGTCATTTGAACTTATCAAGTTTATTTAAAATATAATTATTAATTTTAAAGAAATCTTTAATAATAAAATTTCTTATTTTAAAGACAAAATCTTTATAATGATTCATTTTTTTGCTATTTTAAACTTATTAATATGTAATTATGTAGTACTAAAGCAGTGTTTAGATGTTTTTTATTATTTTTGTTTTTGCAAGTAAAATACGTTTCAACCTATAAAACATTACATTTGATAAAAACATTAAATTTAACAAAAATTAAAATTTTTTTAGTGTTACTAGTGAAAAGTTATCTTTTTCTTTAGTAATAAAGTAGCAGAAAATGCAGTAATAAAATAGCAGAAAATGCAGATAATATTAGGAAAAATTCATATATAAAAACTCATATAAATCTTTACATATATAATCTATTGAATCTAATTAGTAAAGGAAATAATTGTAGAAATAATTATAAAAACAACTTATTTTCAATAATTATATACAAAATATATAAAAAAATAATGTTTTCAAAATAATTGTAGAAACTAATTATTTTTAAATTTTTTTTTTTTTCAAAAAAACTTAATGATAAAGTAATTAAAGAAGAAAAAAATTATAGAAATGATAAAAAAACTTAATTAAATGCTATTAAATGATAGAAAAACTTAATTGAATGCTATTAAATTGCTATCAATTAAATGTGCTAGTTTTTATTTTATTTCTTTTATTTTCCTCATTTTTTGTTTTATAATTATTTATTATTGCATAATTATTAATTATGCACAATTATTGACTAAATTATTTAGGGATATCCACATTGAATTGACTAAATTATTCAGTGCACATTGAGTGCATATAAATTGACTGTTTTTTATATGTATAGGTGCAGTGAGTGTACCTGCAAGTATAATTGTAAAATCCAACTTTACACTTGACAATATTATATAAAATTGATAAAGCAGTGTAAATTTGATTGATAATTAAATCTCTTAGTAAAAGATGTAAGGTGACTTCATTTTTGAAATACATCTATTCTTGAAAATGCATTTATTAACTTTTTAATTAAAATTAATTAATTCTAATGTTGTAGATATTGAAGAATTAACTCACAAAACTGGTAATTTTAAGCAATTTAGTATCTTTTGTAATATGCTAGAATCAGCTCTTTCTCAGGTATTTTATCTGTAATTTTCTACCTTTTTTTTATATAATCATTAAATATTTTTTTGGTTTCCTTAATAAAATTGCCAAGGACTAATTATCTGACAAATTAATAATATTTTGAATAAATTTTGAATAGAACATTGTGTGACTTAAGGACCACTCGATTTAATATTGTGGCACTCAAAATCTTTTGAACATAAGAGTATTAGTCCTTTAGGTGTAGAAAAGTGAATTTTAAAAATCTGTGTTAAAGGGATCCCAAACTCCCAACACATGTTGTGTTTATATTAAAGATAATGTTAAAAAAAAAGGTTTAAACCAAGTTTTTTTTATTAAAGATAAATAATGAATGCATACCGATAAAAACTAATGTTGTTGTTTTAGGTAAGCTCACCTTCTCCATTTTTTTCAATAACTCGGATTCTTCAAATTATATGTCGTGATCTACAGACTTTGGCGATTCCTTTGAAGCGCGTTTAATTCATAAAAATTTTAGTATTTGACGTCACGGTAGACAAATAAAAAAAAAAAAATTACACAAAGCTGCGTTTTCTACTTTATTTCAAAATGTATGATGTAGTATTTTTTTAACATACAGAAAAAAAAATTTATTTGTATTATTTTTCTAAACATCGCAAAAAAAATTTTGTAAAAATTAAAAACAATAAATTTTTTTATTTTATAGGAGCAACATTTTATACAGATATCTTAACAACTTTTAGATATATGTATCTTACTTATATTTCTTTAATTATTTAAATTAAAACGAATATTAAAGCTTTACTTACCAATCTCATTTTAATACGAGTATTTTACATTATATAAAACGTTTTATATATGGTCTCTTGTTTTTACGCAAGAGAGCGCAGTATTATATATTCTGATTCTTAATTATTTTTATTTAAACAATGGGAACTATTTTCTAACTTCTGATTATTTTTACGCTATGGCAATTTTTTGTTTTCCCGTTGAAAAAAAGTATTTATTAACAATTACTTTCATAAACTGACAGTATTAATTAGAGATAATTAATGAATTGTTAACTTTTTTTATTATAAAATTTTTTTGATTATGCTAATTGTATTTAAATTGCTAAATTTGCTGAATTGGATATGGATAAAAAGGAAATACCATTTTATTTTACATTTGATTTTTGATAATGAAATTTTTAAAATGTCAGCAATTCATACCAATTAGAACCTGTTAAGATTATGAAAAAAATGTACAAGAATACACGAAACAATACAGTTGACAGTACTATCAGATATGAAAATCCGTGAAAGGATATGTGAGATCCTGATTTTGCATTAAAAGTACAATTAATTGCAACACAAGTCGTCATTATAAATTATGACTATAAGTTTACTGTTCAATATTTTATAACCATTAAATAAAAAACATGAAGTTTGTATATTTTTGTCCGTTTTATACAAATAATATTTAACAAAAATACGGACAAATTATTATTAAATAACGCAATAATTAACACATTAATTAATGGCAATAATTCAAGATAGATGGTAATTTAAATTGTTAGAATGTCATAACGTGCATCAAAAAACATATTATATTTGGTATTTCCAAATTTGTCTCGTAATTGGCATTTGTCTCTTAACATGAAAAATTAAAAATTTTTAAAAGCACAATTAAAAAATACAAATTTTCAAGCAATTTTCTCTTCCAATTCTCATTTTAAAGAAAAATTACTATTAAACATTTATTTCTCTCATCTAAAAAAAGAACGAGTGACGCAAAAAATATATATATTCTATACTACTCTTATTCATTCAAAGTTTAATTGTGCAAAACTTTTCTTTCTCTTTTGTTCTACTCTTTTATAAAAAGAGCGCGCGATGAAATAAAAACTTTTCTTTTTTAACATAAAATTATAGTTTGAGATAAAATTAAATTAGAAATAAATCAACAATGAGCAAAGCAACGAACAGATTAATCTGGAACTATTTTGACATTATGATAATAATCAACATAAACAAGATTAACAACAATTATCAAATAAACAACACAATCTCGCATAATTTTAGGGGCATTTTATTTTTATTGCTTAGTCGTTCTAAATAATAAGTAAATTTAGTTCAAGTTAATAATTCGATATTTACAGTTGCAATATAATAAAGAAATGGTGTTTAATACTGAACTTTTTATTTAGTTATTTATTTTTTTACCTACATTTGTTATAAAAAACTTTAGAACCCCTGTCATTAAAATAATTTGTTTTAAATATATTTCGACGTGATTATTCAAACTAATTTTTTTCGTTTGACTTTCCGAACTTCATGCAAAGCTAATTGAAACGAAATATCGTCTAACCAAATAAAAAAGCTGTTACTAATTTTATACAGGTAATTAATGTAAAACAATTTTTTATCAGAGTCTTGATTGAGATAATAAATATTCATAATTTATAAATTAAATATACGGCGCTATAACAATTTATAGCAACGAACCAGCATAAAATATTTGAGGTTTTTAATATCTTTTTAAATGTTAAAAATAGAAAAAAAACAACTAAACAAATCAAAAAAATTTTGAATAAAAATTAAATAAAAATATTTCTAGAGTTTCATTTGTTAAAAGTCTACCGTGATGTCAAATACTAAAACTTTTATGAATTAAACGTGCTCCTAAGGAATTGCCAAAGTCTGTATATTGCGACCTATAATTTGAATACTCCAAGTTATTGAAAAAAATGAAGACGAGCTTCGGCTAAAACAACAACATTAGTTTTTTTCGGTATGGATTCATTATTTATTTTTAATCAAAAAAACTTGGTTCAAACCTTTTTTTTTAACATTATCTTTAATATGAACACAACATGTGTTAGGAGTTTGGGATCTCTTTAAGTGCTACAGATCAAAAATGGAGCAAAAAAGTTTATCTAAAGAGGTTTGAGGTTGCTTTAAACTCATTTAAGAACTTGAAAGTCAAAAAAGCACCACAGGGTCTATTAGACCTACTCTGAAGAGTATAATTTACAGAATATTATTGCTAAGTTTAACCTTTTAGTTATAACTCATTTTGTTCTCCAACATTTAACCATAATATTATAAGTATAAAACATTTTAAAATAAAAATAATAATTTAGCTATGCTGTTATATTGTTTTCCTAATGTCTTTAGGTAACCAATATCACATATATATGTTCTTTATTAAAAAAGAAACACAGAGCTCTCAGGTAGCAGAAGCATGCTGGCCTTAAAGGCTATGCAGAAATTCCACATGGGCCTAAAAGTTTTATCTTTTTTTTTTTTTACTTTATTCTGATTCACTCTCAACAAGGCTGCAAGCAACCACCATTAAGTTGGGAGTTACTTTTTAGAGCATGCAGGGACAGATACAGTAAAAGAATGAGACTTTGATGAATGACAACTCAAGTAAGAATGAGTTTTTTTTGATGAAACTAGAGATAATAGCTTCTTTGAGCATGGACCATGGTAGTATTTGTATATTAGAGAAAGAGAGAAAGTTCTACGGCTGATTTGCTAACAGTAATAACCGATAGGTTTTATTGTGCATTAGGTAAAGGTGGAGAGGTTAAGGCCTTCGCTCTTAACATTTCTAAAGCGTTTGATAAAGTTTGGCATGCTCGTCATCTCCATAAGTTTTCTTCTTTTGGTGTATCTGGAAACATCTTTGAAATTATTGAATCCTTTTCTTCCAATTGTAGTATAAAAGTTGTCCTTGATGGACAGCACTCTTCTTCTTTTTCTATAACCTCAGGGGTTCCTCAAGGTTTAATCCTTGACCCTATACTCTTTTTAATTTACATTAAGGATCTTTCAGATATTCTCACACCTAAGGTGGCGTTGTTTGCTGATGATACTATCATTTATTCTTGTCATGATAAAAAGCCAACACTCTCTGATTGCTTAAAGGGGACATTTGAGCTTGAAAAGGATCTCACTCGTGCTACATCATGGGGCTCACAGTGGCTGGTGAACTTTAATTCAGATAAAACTAAATTTTTTTCAGCTAATCATTATCTCAATAATTTTTGCCTTCCTATATTCATGAACAGTAACGTACTCGATGAGTCATCTACACTTCATCTTCTAGGATTAACTCTTGCTTCTGATCTTTCTTGGAAACCATATATTAAATCCGTTGCAAATTAATTTTTTTTTGGACAAGGTGCAAAAATACATTGTAAACATAGTTGGACCTGCTCTTGCAGGCAACCTCTAACCATTATCACATCATTGTAATGTCGCTTCTCTATTTCTTTTCTACAATTACCATGACAGGCATTACTCTAAAGAGCTAGCGTCTCTTGTGCCATTTACTAAAATTCATTTTTGTGTTACTTATCATTCAATTAAGTCTCATTCTTTTTCTGTTACTGTTCCTAAGTTCTCCAAAAACTCTTATTTGTCTAGTTTTTTTCCTGGAACATTAGTTCTTTGGAATTCGCTTCCTTCATCTTGCTTTCCTGATTCATATATACTTTGCAATCTTTTAAGTCGTCTGTCAATCCTAATCTTGCTCTACAATCTTCATCTTCTCTCTTCCAGTAACTTCCAACTCTAATTAGTGGTTGCTTGCAGCCTTGTTGGAAGCGAAGATGTATAAAAAAAAAGAGGCTCAAGCTTAGCAGATAGACCGGTCCAACTACGTTTACAATGCATTTTTGGACCTTGTCTAGAAGAGAAAAAGCATCATTAGAAAAACAAACCCAAATATGGCAATTGTGTTCCCTTCAAGATAGAATATAAGATTTGTGGAGAGATTTGTAGATAATGAATATGGGAGTAAGAAAATGGCAAGCACAATAAAAAAAGTAACTTTAGCAGATGGTAATTTAGCAATCGATTGTATATATAATTTCCATGTAAGGTCAGTTGTAAACAATAATCCAAAAAGACATAAAGAAGAGGACTCAGTGAGAGGATCGCCATTCATTAATATAGCAATGTCGATAGTACTACGATAGTTGTTTGCAGTAAGTAACTGAGTTTTGTTAGAGTTAAAATTTACAAGTCACTGTGAGCATC